TAAGACTTGTGGACTTCAACTCCCAGAATTCCTCAGCCAGCTTTGCTGGCTGAGGAATTCTGGGAGTTGAAGTCCACAAGTCTTAAAGTTACCAAGGTTGGACACCCCTGCTTTAATGCATTGGGCAAATCCTCTGCCCTACCTTGTAAGCAATGGCCTCAAGTCTAGCTGGATTTCTAATGCATTATGTGAGCATATCCATGCAATGTGCTTTGCAACTGAAGTAGCTTGCATTTCTTTTAATCTTCTCCAGACTATATTCCTGGAAATCATTTAGTTTTTGATTCCAGACAACAACATCCAGGTGCTGCCACCTGGTGATTTGGAAAAAGCTTACTGTAATACAATTTGCAGACTGAGGGGGAAAAAAGTAAAATGACAAATCACTTCTGCATTGCTGCAGACAATATATCCAGTAAGTGTTGTGCATGAGGGACCCTTTGCCTTTAGTACTCAACAAAATCAACAAAAGAGTTATAATTAAACCGCGTTGTATACACAAGCCAGTATTCATTTCACAATACTACTCTTAGGTTGGCTAGGATGCGAAATAACAGTTAGCCCAACATCCCTTGGTGAACAGTGTATTTCACTTTCTTTTCCTGATTGTGATAAAACAGTAGTGCTGCTATCTGAGAATATATTTGGTGGAACAAATCTGAATTTTTTTTCATAAAAATATGTAAGAGGACTGAAGTTGCTTAAGGTTGGAAATTCCTTAAGGTTGAGGATTAATGTGCATTTTAACAGCCCAGTTCCAAACTTATACTACATCTTCTCTTCTATTACAGTTGAGCAAACATGCAGTAGGGTCATACTGCCATTCTATGCAGATGTAACATGGAGATAAAGCTGATTAGAAGCAAGATCTATTTATATTAGGCTATGAGGCAATATTTTAGAAGATAAAATTGTTCATTTTTAAATGTAATGAATAATCTAGTGCCTACTGACTTTTATTACTCATAACACTGATGCCCTGGATTGTGTGTTTCTAATCTGTTCCCCTGTTCCCATGATGTTTTAGAATGTGGGGCAGTGAATGAAAGCAAGTAATCTCCTGATATGGAAGCAGCTTTAGTTCTGTTATGTTGAGGGGGGCTTGTATACAAAGGATTATTTATTTTTCTAACCAAATACAAATCTTTGTGCATCACGCAAGCTGAAAATGGAAGTAGACATGCCTGGAAAAAACATTACTTATTCTTGGAATAGTCATCTCAGATCTCTGCAAGAAATATAAATTGATTGTATTACCAATTAATTTTGCACAGTAATTTTATTTTGGAGGTTCTCTGGGGTTAGTGTTCAAAGGCTACAATATTGTGTGACAAGCTGAGACAGATTGCTCTGTAGTTCTTCTCTGTTGAGCTTGCTTGTACCTTGAGCCAGGCACTTTTCTTTTGATCTGGCTTGCTTCACAGAATTGATGTGAAGCAAAATGGAGAAAACATTAAACTTGCACTGGGGTCCTTGGGAGAAATGTGTGATATAAATATTTAGTCTGGTGTTTTTTGTTTTTGCACGAACTTCCAGGATTTTTCCAGATTTGACCAAACCGTCTCCTTCAATAAACAGAGGAGATAACAAAATTAGTTCAAAGGAGAGAGAGGTTTTGTACGGTATAGACGATCAAAGGCTTTCTGACTTTATAAACATTGGCTTTTGAAACCTGATCTTTCTTCCACAGGAGATGCAGTATTCTGCCTTCTTTCATGAGCTGTGACTTACCCTGTCTAAATATCTCTGCACCCGATACAAGTGGAAAGATGTAGCTATTGTGGCTGTTCAGAGTTTAGATCCCTAGATTTGGAAGTTTCATAATCTACACTCTCTGCATAAATGACATATGAAGGAGAATCAAAGATCATCTACCAGGCAGTTCCAGCACAGAAATTGGGAATTTTAAAATTCAGACTTTTTACATGTCCTTCCTTGTATCTGCATTGCTTGCCTTTGGACTTCTGCTGGCCTGAGCTCTGCTGTATAACCTGCCAGTGAGACATTTCAGGTTTTCCTTGGTAGAAATGAGGCGGGATAGACCACAAGAACGGGCAGCTAGCTGGCCAGCAGAGCATATCAAGGTGCTCCTTGCCCTCTGGACTGAGGCAGCGGTCACTCATGACCTTAGCTCCCACGGGAGGAACCGTGCAGTCTATGATGGCATTTCTCAGCGTCTTGCAGAAATGGGCATTTATCGGACTGGGGACCAGTGCCGTGAAAAAATGAAAGGCTTGAAAGTGGCTTACCGCAAGGCTAAGGAAAATAACTCTGTGGGGCGGCCGCCAATCAAGTGTCCCTTCTATGACGAAATTGACCAGATAATGACACAGTACATAAACTGCAGGCCTGGTTTTCCCTCTGAGGTTGGTGAAGGGTCCAGTGTTGCAGTGGACAGACAGGAAGGCCTCTCCATCTCTGAGCCCTGGGGGACCCAATCCAGCATCTCTGAGCGTTGGGGGTCCCAGGCCTCTGGGCATTGGCTGTCCCAGACTGCTGCCTCCGAAAGCCAAGGGACCGATGAATTCAGCTACACCCACGCAGAGGCTCATGAGGCTTTTGGCGAGATCCAAATCATCCCAGTTCAGGTGAAGGAAGAGGAATCGGAAGATGAAATCTCACCGGAGCTGGGTAAACTGTTCATTTCTCCTGGGGAATGTGTCAGTGCAAATCCTCTAGTCTAGAACCATGATGGCGAACCTATGGCACAGGTGCCAGGAGTGGCATGCAGAGCCATTTCTGCTGGCACACAAGAGGTCACCCAGAAGAGCCCCACTGTGCTTGCACCCTCTGCCAGCCAGCTGATTGTCTGGTATCTGCCATGCATGCATGGAGGGAGACATGCTTAGGGGAGATGCATGTGCAGGGAGTGGGGCGTGTGGGAGCGTCACGTGTGTATACGCAAAGGTGCACACATGGTCATGCACGCATGCGCAGAGGAGCAGCACGGGGGGTTGTGTGCACATGCAGACAGGTGCACGGTACGTGCGCATGCAGGGGGCGGGGGAGTCATGCGTGCATTGCATCATGGGTGTGGGCACGTGTGTGTGTGTGTGCACGCACAACTTTTCGGCACGCGACGTGGAAAAGGTTAGCCATCACTGATCTAGAACGATACCTAAGGAGGGGCAGGGAGGAATATGCTGTTAATCATTTTATGAAATATTTGGGTCTTTAGTTTCATAGTTTTATTGGACTTTTGGTCTAAATGTTTTACCTGAACTCCCCTAGAACCACAACTTTCTGTTTCTGGAAATGCATATAATTCTCTATAGCAGGCCAACTTCCACTAGTTGTTGTTGCTTTTACTTGTTTATATCAAGGGTCTTCAAACTTGGCAGGTTTAAGACTTGTAGACTTCAACTCCCTGAATTCCTCCTCTGGCCATGTTAGCTCAGGAATTCTGGGAGTTGAAGTCCACAAGTCTCAAACCAGCCAAGTTTGAAGACCCTTGCTATTGATGATGTTGCACTGCTTGGAGACTATATATATATACGTATATGGCTCTTCCCTGTTCCTTACTTTATAGATGTGGCCTCTCCTATGCTAATGGAGATCCAACCTCCACCCAGGCAGCTCATCTCCATGCTTGACCAACGTCCCCATCTTCGAACTCGGAAACAAAAGGTTCAGGGGGATGGGCAGTCAAGGGGCGCTGGCCAGAAGTGCAGTCGTTCACATCAGCCGGAGCTGCAGAGAATGCAGAAGCAGGTGGCCCTCCAAGCTGAGGAAAAACAGAGTTTAGCCGAATTCATCCAGCACGACAAGGAGATGCGACGTGAGGATAGGGAGTTCCAAGCCCAGCTCTTTGAGAAACTCTTTCAGAAACAAACTGAGCTGGTCCAGGTGCTAACTCAGCGATCTCCTGCCAGTCCTAGCTCGGCTGCCTGCGCTAATCCCATGCAGACCTTGCAGATGTCCACAAAGAACGGAGCAGGAACAGCCGCTGGGCCTGGCTCGCCCCTACAGGCTTTGTTAGAACAGATAATGCAGTCTGACCTACCGGGCAAGAGTCTAAATAGACTTGCCGTGAAAGAAGCACTGGGAGGAAGAGTTAAGGTGCCTCCAGAAGTGCAGTATTGGACTGCCGAAGAGATCCTGAGGTGGCTCTTGTCTCAGCAGCCTCCTGCAGATCACTGTCAGGAGGTGCTGTCAGGCCCGAGGCTCCCTTGCGTTGCGGGACACCTGGGGGCCCCAGGGAAAGGGGATAACTCAGAGGCACCCCTCTCCGGTGTGAATCCGTTATGTGATTCATACCAGAGTCCTCAGCAGCTCTGCCACAAGGCCCAACAGCTGTGCGCCAGCAATTGTGCTCAAGCACTTGAAACGGACGTCGACTTGGAGAGCCGCCGTCATTCTTTCAGGCAGTTCCAGTACCAGGAGGCCCAGGAACCCCAGGAAGCATACCAGTGCCTGTGGCGGCTTTCCCACCAGTGGCTAAGGCCAGAAGCACGTAGCAAAGAGCAAATCATGGAGCTGCTAGTGGTTGAGCAGTTCCTGAACATACTCCCTAAAGAGATCCAGACCTTGGTACGCGAATGCCAGCCAGAAAACGGCAAGGAAGCTGTGGCCCTGGCAGAGAGATTCCAGCTCCATTTCGAGTCCAAGAGGCAACGGGACCAAGTAAGAGCATGCCGAGAGTGATTTCTGCTTTGGGGTTTGGAGATAGCATTAAAGGAGGAGCGAGGAAATGAAAAAGTCTTATTTCCCCCCCCCACACACACATCTTTCTCCTTGACCGAGAGACTTTTATACATGGAATCTAGGAATTACTGTAGTTATTAGCAAAAGTTTTTAGTTTTTCAGTTGAAAGTGAGATTTAAAGACAAGGGAACAACAAGAAGCACTGCAGGTGGAGGTAGGCTCTTTCCCCAAAAGACGCATTTCCAATTTGCTTGAGCCTTCCTGCTTTGGTAGAAGCTGAAAGGCTACTCAGAGTTTTCTAGACAGTAGAAAATGAATTTTCTTTTTTAAAAAATAAAATAAAATTCTTATGGGTATAAATTGTCCGATTCTGACCAATATTTTCATGTGACTGCAGCAGGATTTGGTTTTGAAGGATATTTAGGATGAGGCAACTGGCAGCAAGTTCAAAATGCTTGTATATTTATCTTCAGCTCACAAAGATAGGGGAAGACTTCTTGACATCTTTGGTGTGGAACTGAGGGCCCTTTTTATTTTAGAAGTGATAAACACAAGAGTGGCGTTCTTATTTTTCAGGTACGTGTTACCTCAGATAACATGGTTGTAGATTCCCCTCAAGAAGACTTGAATGAGGATCAGAGACAACCCTGCATAAAAGACAGTCAAGAAAATCCTAGGAAGGTTGGCTTACTAGGTAAGAATTTGCTTATCAGGTGCAACTGAATCTTCGTTGTGACAAATTTGTTTCTTTGTCTTTTGAGGATTGCTTTCTATTGTTTTCATTTGTTTTACTGCATATCCAGTTAGATTTATTTTCCATTTCTGCTTATATTTGTATGCCATAAACAGCTTTATCCACTTGTGCTCCCTGTATCCTCTCTGGACAATTTCTGTGATTCCTTAGTCAATACAGTCAAATGAAAAAGAATTTTTGGCAATATGCTTCTTAGCATAAAGACTAGCAAATTAGCAAAATCTCTTGGAAGGAAAAACTGGCCAAGAAGGTGATTGGGATCATCAGATGGCAAGGAAGTGAAGTGTTTGCTGAAGAGAGATGGTACAGGCCTCCCAAGTTCAGCTTATGGTCCTCATTCACACATCAGGGCCTGTTGACTTCACTTGACAGTATATTTATAAAGATACTCTGAATAATAATTCTCAGATCGATGCCAGAATTAAAAAGGCATTTAATTGAAGTCTCAAATGTTAAGGCTTCCTAAAATCTAAGCCACTTCTGGAGGGTAACAGAGAGAAGACAACAAACAGAACTCTAGATGATTTCAAATTAATTCAGATTACTTTACAAGTATGTGCATAAGCTCTATTAATGAATTCCATATTGGGTTAACCTTCAGCAAGTCAACCTATCTTGATTTCTTAAGGATGTCTTCAGTTTATCTGTAAAAGAGGAATAATTGTGATCCCTCTCAAAGTTTTTATGAAAGGAAAGCTATCAAGTACCTTTCATATTCTAATATTCATATTTGCAGCTAAAACAAAAACTTACTCTGTAAGACGTGAGTGGAATCCCACCATCTATGGGCCTGGAACCCAAATCTTATGATTCCCAGCCTAGGGCCTTAACCACGAGCCCATCTGTTATTTTTGTATCTTGGCAGGTCTCTCAAGGTAAACTTATTCTCCATCTTCAGGTACAGAAACACACCTCCAGCTGAGGAAGAGAGCCAGATCAGATCCAAGGAAGCAGATTGTGCCCAAACAGGATGGAGAACACGGTGTGGCAGCAGCCAAGCAGGTGAAGTTGAACAACAGCATAGAAGAGCAAGAAGTGGCTGAAACTAGAAAGAAAGCAAAAGAAATGCCCACCTCTGTGCCTGGAAAGCAAGCTGGGAAAGCCAAAGGGCGGGGAAGATCTGCTCCCGGTTATAACGTGGCTGGGGAACACCAGGCAGAAGGGGAAGCTAAGACGAAAAGCAGTAGCCGAGTTTCAGAAGCTGTGAACGGGACTCTGCATGAGCAGAAAGCATCGACTAGTCTTGGGTCATCTCAGCTGGCTTTTGACAAGGATGCAACCGAGGCCAGCCCCCAACCAGGCCACGACGGTCATGGGTCTCCTGACATAGACAGACCTTCATTTAGTGACAGCATTGACATTTTACTGGATTCTCCGTGGAGTGGAAATGGTAGTGGTGACACAGCCCTTCAAGACGGGGGCCCCGGTTCCAGGATGCTACCCCCTTGTGTAGGCTGTACCGTGTTGAAGGCTGAGTTGGATACCGTCCGTGAGGAGCTCCGATTAACCCAAGGTAACTCTAGAAGCAGAAACGAGGAGGTCTCTTCACATAGTGACATCAATTTCCTTGTTGTCCTTCATGTGTTGCGAGAATTTGTATCTTGCCAGTATACTTGTACAACTGCCTTGCCGTTGGTTCCGCTTAATATTTATTTATTGCTGAACACAGTGCTGACCACAACACAGTACATAAATCACTTCGATCCTTCCCAGAATAATTTCTTGGCTGTTGATTAAGTCTACTTGTCATTGAAAACAGCATCCCCCGTAGCCAATCTCACTTTTCAATTTGTCATAATATAAGAGCACTCACCAGGAAAATGTAGTGTTGATATTCGGTGGGGAATGCTTTTAACTGGCATCTGAGCTAAAAGCAGCCTTAAATAAGTATTTCATTTGGAAAGATAGGATATCAATGAATTAAATAAGATTAAAATGAACACAGCTTAAAGGCACCAGTAAAGAACTTGATGAAGGGACTAAAGATGGAATTAGAATTGGCAGCAAATACTTGCTTTGAAACAATTATCCATAATACCGGGGTTGATTTCTAAAGTAAACTAAGGTGAAAAGACGTATCTCAAGGTATTTTATTTCATGGTACTTTATTAAGAAGGCAAGAATGAAGGTGCCAACTGCTAAGAAGTTCCCCTCCTGAAGCATTTTGTGATACTTATTTTCGATTTGTTGTTGTTCGTTTCTATGCAGCTTCGACACTGTATGGGTTGAGTGGCACCCCTTTGCAGGACTTATCAGAGGCTCTTGGGACTGTGGTACGGGTCCTGAACAACACAAAATCTTTGCCAGGAACAAACATACCACAGAACATTGCTGAAATCCCTAGTAGGCCAGCATGGCGAGAAAGAAATGTAAGTCTCCCCTTTTACTACTGTTCGTTTGTATTAAGGCATGTTTTCTTTCATATTATCTGGGTTTTATTTTTCTTTCTTTTAAAACGGAGATCCTGCCATGAGCCTCATATTGAGTACTGTTAAAACAGAGAAAGTATCAAGGATTTTTAAAAAGGCAAACAGTCATCCTAAAATATTTGACCTTGCTGTTTGGAATATATGGTGGAATTTACAGTTTTCCCATTAATCCAAAGCAGTTGCCTGTTTTCCAAAGTGATAGCATGGAAAGTTCTCTTCTTCAATTAGGGAAGGTCTACAACGCAGTGTCATTGCAAATTTGGATTGCTGTAGATGGCTTCTATCCTGGTGACTGGTTGAGAAGACAGTCTTGGAACGGAGAATTAAAGTTCCATTCTCAACAAAATTCACTAGGTCAGACTGTAAAACTTAACCAGATGGAAGATATTTTGAACATCACACAGGGTATGGAGAAGCTAGTAAAGAATTATTTCTACTGGTGTGGGAAGATTTCCCATCGGAATTTTTTTTTTTTTAATGGATGGGTAGTTTGATGGTTAGTTATTGTACCTTCCATGATGTAATCCATCTAAATATGTGGTCTTTCCACTTTTTGATGCACATTTGTGCCCCATTATATGTAAACAAAAGTGAGCAACATCTGCTTATCTGGCATTTTTCTTCCAATCTATCATCTTAACTTATGAAACTTTTTATGAATGAATCTCTTTTTTTTCTTAATGAGATATCTGGCCTTGATTAGAAATCAAGCCAGTTTTAATGTTAAATTGTTTGCCATGTGTTCATTCTCTGAATATAAAATGCTCAATATGTTTTGATCCAATACTAACAGTGTTTTATCTTTCCTGTAGCATCTTTGAATCCTTGCATGGACTGAATGTACATCCCCCACCCCCAGTCAAGAAATTCAGCAGCAATATTAGAAGCGCCTGATTTAAAAGGAGAGTGAAAAGCACCCTTTGCTTGATTGCCTGAGACTTTCAACAATCCCTGCCCGTGATTCCCTATTCCTTCCTCATCCTGTTGGATTGCTTAGACTACCGCAGGCTCTGATCCAGATGCTCTTTCCCTGCTATGGTGCAAATGTTGTCATTCCTTTACCTTTTTACTGTTACCCTTGTTTTTATTTTATTTTTTATACTGTAGTAATCTCTTTCTTCCCTTTCCTGCTTGAGTTTAAATAAAGCAACTGGGAATGATTTATTGTACTCTTTATGGGCAATAAATAGCATGTGCATTGACCCAATTAGAATAGAAGTCTGCAAAGAGAAAGCCTCCTTTTAATCCACAAGAAATCAAAGCTCCTGTTTTGGAAAGCAAGCCATGGTTTTGGAAGGAATTGTTAGCCCAGATGCAAGCCTTGAGGTATTCTAGATCCAGCCTGATTTCATGATGAACATTATATTCTCTCTTAATATATTCACAAGTACAATAATTACAGATCTTGACAGATTCCCAACATCGGCTGCATAAGTGAATATAGTGTTGATCAGCGTAAGAAAAACATTACCACCATAAACACAACAGGAATTTTTTTGTAAGAAATGTAAGTTTCTTTTCTAAAGAATTTCAAATACTTGACACTGGAGAGAATGGAAAAGATAAGCTAAGGGAAAATTAATAACGTGACACATACACATGTACACACGTATGTATATAGAGGTAGCCCTCAATTTATAATCATTTGTTTAGTGACTGAAGTTGCAACTGCATTGAAAAAAGTGACTTAAGATGAATCCTCACACTTAATAACTGTTTCCACCTTCCTGTGGTTACATGATCCAAAGTTGGGTAACCTTGGCAACTGGCAAGTATTTAAGGCTGTCGGAATGTCCTGGGATCGTGTGATCATAATTTGTGACCTTCCTAGCCAGTTTCCAACAAGCAAAGTGAATACATTACAATGATTCATTAAATAAGTCATAAAATTTGGCACAACTCACCGAACCACCGTCTTGCTTAGCAGCAAATGTTCGGCTCCCAATTGTGGTTCTACATCAAGGACTACCTATATACATATAACATATCACTCTGATCGAAGAAGTTAATCACTGTTAGTCTGCTCAGAACAAATGCTACTTACTTTATGTACTTCATTCCAGATTAGATCATTTGGTTGTTGTCCCCAAAGAATCTCCCTCATATTCAGTTATTGGGAGTATTGAATGTGGGTTTTTTTCCCCTTACCCTATAATTTAACATCCTCAAGTTGAGGCAGGAGGTAGGATGAGAAAAAGCAGGGGTTGAAGTTGGAATTAATTCATGTTCCCTCATTCAAAACTGTCCAAAAGATAAATGAAGATGTGTTAACCAGACTAGTTCTGAAGAGGTTTGTGCAATTAAAGCAACATCAGTTAATCTAATTAAAACAAATCACAATTCACACAGCTCCAGAGATCTACTTGAAACTTAAGCACCATGGTCAAATTCAGATGCTTGACAACTGCTTCATATTTATGACCGTTGCTGTGTCCCAGAGTCACGTGATTCCCCTTTTGCGACCTACTGACCAGCAGAGTCAACGGGGGAAGCCAAATTCATTTAACAACCAGATTACTAACTAATCAACTGCAGGGATTCCCTTAACAACCAACGCGACAAAGGTCGTAAAATGGGTCAAAACTCACTTAACAAATGTCTCACTTAGCAACCGACAATTGTCTCAGTTACCTGTATAGCAAGGCGGGGCTCATCCTTGGCATTTTTGCATCCCTTTGAGTCCTTTGTTTACCCACGTGAATTTATTAATCCTTGTGGGGGACTATTTATCAACATTTAAACAAGAAGGGATTTCACACAACAACACCAGGAGTGTTCAAGAGTTTCCAGTGACATATGTAGGCATTGGATACATCAGAGACAGGAGACCAACCCAGATCCCAGAGGAGAAGTGAGGAGAGACTAGACTAGACTAGACTAGACTAGACTAGAATAGAACAGAACAGAACAGAACAACAGAATAGAATAGAACAGAAAATATGGAATGGAATAGAATAGAATAAGAAAGGAATAGAAATAGAAAAATAGAACAGAATGGAATAAAATAGAAATAGAAGAGAAGAGAATAAGAGAAGAGAGAAAAGAACAGAACAGAAGAATAGAATAGAAAAGAAGAATAGAATAGAATAGAATAGAATAGAATAGAATATAGTAGAGAAGAGGAGAAGAGAAGAGAGAAGAATAGAATAGAATACAATAGGAATAGAATAGCCGAGTTGGAAGGATCCCTGGAGGTCTTCTAGTCCAACCTTGGTTTAAAAAAAAAAAAACTTGTCGCCTAACGCGGCTGCCTATGAAAATACGTGATCCTTTCTGCCTACGGTTGACCATCCTCGGAAGCGGTTTCTCAACGACGCGCCAACGACTCCCGGGGGTGGGTGGGGGGAACTTTTCTACACTTTATAGCTCTACTTTCTCCCCCCCTTTTAAACCGCCAACGTCCCTCGGGCCGGAAGCCAATCGGGGGAACTTCCGGAGGCGGGTTCCAGCGGCTAAAAGCGGGCCTGGCCTGGGTGCAGGTTGGTGGCGGTGTTGTCCGCTCTTTTCTCCTCGGTACTTGGCGGGACAACCGCGCCCGGCCCAGGGCCGGTCGAGGGAGGCGGTGAATCTGAACGAAGGCGGCGCTCCCGGAGAGAAGGCCCTTCGCTCGGTTCCCGCGCGAGAAGCCGGGGGGGGGGGCGCGCTATAAAGCCCCCGCGGCTTTGCGTGGCGCTTCTCCCGGCCGCCTCGGGAGTGGCGGGGGGGAGAAAGAGACCAGCCGCTCCGGCCGAAGGTTCAGGCCAAAGCATCGCTTGCTTTGCTCTCCCGCCACCGCTCTTGCAAATTTCGCTGCCTTTTTCTCTTCCCGAGAGGGGAAAGGCTGGCTTGCGCCCCATCCTGTGGCGGAAAGCAAAGGGTTTCCTGCGAGCTCGGCGTTTAGCATGGCCGGGAACGGGGGAGAGACAGAAATCCTTTCGGATCTCGCCTGCGAAGTGTTTCTCATGAAAACGTGGGGCCTTGCGGGGGAAATAGTTGCCTCCAAGAACGGGTGGGCCGTGCACTGGCTTTCTTTTTTTCCCCCTCTCTTTCAAACTTAATTGTTACTTATTTCAGTACAGGTGGTCCTTGACTTACAACCGTTCGCCTAGTGACCAAAGCTACAACAGCACTGGAAAAAAAAGGACTTGGGGCTGTTCCCCGCCCCCAGTTAACAACCATTGCATCAACTCCAAGATCGTTGTGTGGTCAAAATTCAGATGCTTGGCCCCTGGTTCATACTTACGACCATCGCAATGTCTCCTAGGGCCGTGTGATCCCCTTTTGCAGCCTTCTGAGCAGCAGAGTCAATGGGGGAGCCAGATTCACTTAACAACCAGGTCTCTGGTCTAAGACTAATAAACGGATTGACTTAATCACAGTGTTACTAACTTGCCAGCTGAAGGAATTCACGGAGCAACTGCACTGAAAAATATCGTAAAATGGAACGAAATTCACTTTAAAAATGTCTCACTTAACCACAGAAATGTTAGGCTCAATTGTGGTTGTAACTCGAGGACTACCTGTACTGTATCTTGGAGCCATAAGGATATGCTCCTTTGGGGAGTTTTTGAACTCCTGGGAGAAATTCACCAAAATGTTATTGGGATTTTTAAAAAACATATTTAAAAATAATGCATAACAAAAAGGCAGCCTTTCTGCAAAGTGTATTCCCACTATCTAATGAAAGGCCTGTTAACAAAATTATATGTTAACAGGCCTTTCATTAGATAGTGGAATACACTTAGTTCCACATAACATGCTCTTTGCATACCTGTCATTTCCCTCCTTTGGTACCTAGTTGCCCCCTGGGGAATCAGATGTTTTGTGAAGTGACAAGGAAAGAAGTTGCATTGGTTGGCATTTGTTCCCAAGTGTGTGTTTACATGTTGGTTTGCTTTTTAAAATACAGATTAAAGGGAGGCGGATATAGTGAAGCAGCAGTAATCCACAGCAGTAGAAAAATGTAAGTAGCTGCAAAGAAGGCTAACCTGTTTTCAGCATAGTTTTACAGTGTCTAGACTCTAATTGTACACCTAACACACCTACTTCACAGAATATTTGTCATCTTTAGCAACAGTTAAAACCTCTCTTCATTATTTCCTCTTCTTTTTCTCATTAACATTTTAACTAGTAGTGCTAGGGGTTCCCTGGGATCCACATTTTGGGGGGGGGTACCTGTTGTCCACACTTCTGAGCCCGATTCTGCTCAATTTTTTAATGAATGTCTACACAGAAGTCTTTAGAGTTAATCTTGAATGTTTACCACGTTTTTTCTCTCTCTTTTTGACATCTCTTGTTATAGAACTTTCCCAGGGGGGAAAAAAAGCTGCAACGCCTGTGGGCAGCCAGTGAAGAATGGCCAATAAGATTCAAGCACCATTCCTGGATGGCTCCTGTTCTGACCCTGCGGAAGATAGGGACTCGGAGGGTGGCATTGTGACTAAACATCAGGACTCTGGTAGCGATCAGAGCGAGCCTAAGATGGTTGCCAAATGTTTGGGTGAGGATGCTGAACCTTTGGAAATGCCAGCAGAGCCTGCTGTTCCATGCCAAGTCACAAAAATGAAAGTGAAACATGAAGAGGAGCCAAAAACGGAGGCAGCCTTGGTGCCACCTCCAGTGGAGGTAGCTGCTGCTGTTCCAGTGCCACCCTTGAACGAAGGGAAGGGAGCAAAACGGATGATGGAAGATGATGCCGAAGCTTTTAAAGAAATGCCTGATGTTTGCCAGGAAGCCAGAGAGCCAAGAAGGGCTATGCTGCTGCCTGACCTCTTTGGAGAAGCCCAGGAAGCACACAGCAGTTTGGATGTCAGCCGGGCAGGGGGCTGCACAAAGGTGGAACAGGCTATTCCGTGCTTGTCCAACACAGTCTCAGAAAATCAGCGCAAACGCTTTCGGGGTTTCGCCTATAAAGAGACTGAAGGTCCCCAAGTGGCTTATGAGCGGCTCCAGGAATTGTTGTTCCAGTGGTTGAAACCAGAGGCCCGCAGCAAAGAAGAAATAGTTGAGCAGCTAGTCCTCGAGCAGTTCCTGAACCTCCTCCCTGATGATGTCCAGAAATGGGTCCGGGAGCGTCATCCAGAAAATGGGGATGAAGCTGTCGCCTTGGCAGAAGACTACCAGTTTCTGCATCCTGAGCCTGGACGGCAGCCCTATCCGGAGAGAGCAAGGCAGCGGGCTTCAGCAAGAAGTTGGCTACGCTGAAGTCTCAGGAATAGGCAGGCAGGCAGGGCTATTTGTAAGGGAAGGGACCCTTAGGGGTAGGAAGTCTGGTCAGCTGATGGCTGCCCTGCTCAGACGTTTGCTACTACTCAAAGCTAAAGAGACATGATTTCTGGCAGCTATTGTATTTCTTGTATACCAAGTTCTATAGGTGATGCTTTGCATGACAATAAAAGGCTGATCTATTTGAAAATGTACTTCCTCATATTCAGCTTTTGCTTATAGGTTGCCTTTTTTCACCATGTATTATTGAAACATAAAGGCCACCGATAATGTCACAGATCTCTGTTAATTATGGTTTTCGAAGCCTGAGAGTCTCGGAAGCATTGGTAGACGTCTGTAATAGGTCTTAGACTGTGGTTTCAACCATCATTTAGCCTATATTGTGAAAACAGTGTAGGAGAACCAGGCTAGAAGGTTGCCTTATCTTATGGGCAGGGATTGCTTCTTAAGTTGATGGGATTGGCTTGATCACTAGTCTGTCTCTGGTGGCAGATTTGGAGAGGGGAAATGCACCACCTTTTTGAAGTAAAGGACAGCATTTGAGTGCAGGGACCAGGATTAAAAATTGTTCCAACTTAAATGTCATTAAAATTAAATTAGTAAGTTAATATGGTTCTTCCCCATGTCAGCAAATAACTAGCAACCAGTAATGGCTTATAGCAATAGCACTTATATGCTACTTCATGGTACTTTACAGCACTCTTTAAGCAATTTATGCAATCAACCTATTGCCCCCAACAATCTGGATCCTCATTTTACCGACCTCAGAAGGATGGAAAGCTGGGTCCACCTTGAGCTGCTCAGGATGGAACTCCTGGCAATTAGCAGAATTAGCCTGTAATACTGCATTCTGACCATTGTGCCACCACGGTCTCACATACAGCCTTGAAATCTCAGGTTGTACACCATTGCATTAAAGGGTAGCCCATGGTTAAATATTCTGCTATTTCCTTTGGGTTTACCGCTCAAGTTGTTTACTTCCCGCTGCCCTTCTAAAAACCCCACATGAGACCAGAAATGAAAACTTTACAGGCGTGTTCAGATTTGTGTTTTTTATTTTTCCTTACAGCTGAGGAGATTCAAAAGACCTAGTAGTCTACTGAGCTGAAGAATTTTGGAGTCCCAAAACAACCTCATCTTTGCCAAGTTTGAAAATGTCTTTTTAAGCCTTTCCCTTCCTCCCAGGGAAAGCCTCGCCTGATGGGTACCTAGGGCTTGCGTCTGTGCATTGTGCAGCACAGGGATCAATTGGGGTGGGGACAAAAGGAGTAGTGTGTGTGAAAGGGGAAAGACTAAGGTAGGTACTTGAGAGCCCTCTGAAGCAACTCAGAAGAAAGGCATCCCCCCCACCCCCCCAAAATACACTCCTTGGCTAGGGTTGATCTGATGTGTCCGAGCCAGCTTTTGCATTGTTCTGCTGGGCCTTTTCACGTGTGCTTTGACTAGATCTTGTGGGGAGCCCCCCAAAGAGACTTGCCGTGAAACACGAAACCAGCACAAGGATTTTTAGCAGCAGCCCATACAATAAAATACCAATCTAGGAATCTCTTCTTGGAGATTCCCAAAAAAGGCTGATTATTTGCTAGGAAAACACAATAGTCTAATTGGAAGAGCAACCTTTTGTGAGGTTTGTGTAATGTTCTTGTCAATGGCTTCTTAGACGAAATGTAAAGCATACCATTCTGATGTACAAGTTGGATAAATCGTCTGGTGGGCAGGCTGTGGATTGCATGTTATAACCCTTTAAACGCATCAGACTTTTCTCAGTGGATTGGAGGGTGTTGGTTAGAAAAATTTGTAGCTGGCTTTCCCCCTGCCCCCCTTCTGATCTCATCAGAACTATACAACATTTGGGAGTCCTAACACAATGTAGTCTACATTCTTCTCTTGTAAAAAAAAGACTAGATTTTTAGCCATGCTTTTATTTGATATAAATGAATTTGGGGGGTGGGTGGGTGTATTTTTGGATGGATGCAAGAAAGACTTTCTTACACATTGACTGAAGATACCATCTATTCATATTCCTCAGAGGTTCTATTTTTTTCGTATGAGTCTTGCTAAAAAATTTTAAAAACGGGAAGAATGCATTGTTCTTAACCCGCTGAATTCAATAGTATGTGACATACTGATAGTCATCTTGGATAGATTTTTGACTCAGTGAGGACAGGAGCAATGAGAGCTATTAATCCTGGGCACTTCCAAGCTGGGGGAGGTGTAGTCCAAGTACCAGGTGCAGTCATTTCTTGCTTGGGAATACTCCAGCAGTATCTAATGGGCATTGTGAGAAGCAAACTCTTAGATCAAGATAGGTTCTGGCCAATATAGCAGAATGTATTTATACATTCTTATCTAAGGCAAGGATGAGGAGACATCAAATACATGACTGGGAAATAATTGTATTTATATTTTTAATTAACATTTCATGCGAATAAAATTATGTCAAACTGAGTGTCTGGCCTAGCTCCAAGAAAGCTGCATTCCAGTAGGCCATACAAAAACCAAGCAAATCTGTTGAGCCAGAAAAAGCAAAGTTAATCTCTTGGATCATTGTGTTGTGCAAACCCAGCCAAAGATGCTTATGGCCCTAGGATTCAACCACAGGTTGTATATTTAGGAATGTTAAAGGAAATCAAAACATGGGTAGACCAAGAAACCAGTAGCTTATAAGGGCCTTGCAAGAAGTTCCTTTTTCTTTGGTTTGTAGATGAAAGGAAGCTCAGAGTTAGACTTACCAGAGAATGAGTCCTATTAAAGGACTGCTAGGGAGGACCACCTAAGATGGAAGCCCAGTTCTCCATCACAGCAAAACCAAACCTAGCTCAGTGAGGTTATGTAAAATCGGATCTCTGCCATTGCATCCATCCATAAATGGTAGGAGCAAGTCTCAATTGGCATTACGATACACATTGCATCAGGCCATTAAGCAGGTTGGTTTGGTGATGGCTTCCTGACTGACATGATCCCAAGCAATTTGTGAGCTTCACCACCATTTTTCAGAATTATTTTTATTCCAGTTGCTCGCTCTGATAATATCCTGTCCACATCCTACCCAGGTCAGCATTTTCAGCTTTTAAGCCTAGTTGTCCAGATGTTGCCAGTTGCCAGGCTGTTTCTTTGCTAAGAGTGTCAAAACTGAAGGATCAGAAAACAAGTGAAAGATGATTTACAAGATTTTATTACTGTGGAAAAGATTTGTGGTTGAAAAGTGGGGGGGTTAATCTGGGATGCTTTTTAGGCAACAATGGGACTCAGGTATATATGGTTAAGTTCATGACTCCATATGAGCATATTATAAATGTCACATAAGTACCAATAGAAGAGAATATTTTAGCACTGATTATATTACCTAGCTGGGTAATAAAATGTCTGCAAAAAAATTAGCAGCAAGGGACCCCACTGTCCCAGAAGTGGATAAAAATTGAAGGATATTCAGAGGTTAAAATATTTGGAATGGCCCATTTTAGAGTCAACATTTTGCACCTCACCTTAAAACAGACCTCCATCTTAACTGAGTTTATTGTATATTGAGATTGAACTGGGACATGATCCCCGCAGCACTATTTTGACTATTTCTTACCCCAAAGGCAGTCTCATTGAGTCTAAAAAATACTTACTGCCTGGGAATTTATTCCAAAGTAGTTGGATAAGATTGGAGAATACAGAAGAGATGTACTATACATTGCATTTTCTCCTTTTTATCTTTTTCAAAAATCGTCACTAGGGGCAGATGACGTTTGAATTTCCTGCAATAATACCCTCAATCCAGTCATTATAATCGAAGACCTTGGTGTAGACGCCAGGTTCAAGGAGTTGGGCACAAGGAAAGCGCCCCCAAGATACAATGCCCTGGATTTGTCCATTACAGATGAGGGGTCCCCCAGAATCGCCCTGTTGAGAAAAATCAAACATGGAACATCACATTACTATCTATGAATGGGAAGTGGAGCAAATGGTTCCCTTCATCATCCGTTCCCCTTGTAGCCCCAAGCATTCCCCAATCCAGGATCCTTATACAATTGAACTCCTGGAGTTTCCCCTGCTAGCATCAACAGTATTGAGTATATAACGGTAAATATTCCCAGGCAGTACGCTTTTTTTAGACTCTGGAAATCCAGACACCTAGAAGGCACTGGAGTTAGAAAAAGCTGTGACTTGGTATGTATCTTTCTACAAGATGCCTTCAAGGCTCAATCTCTTATCATAGCTTTGAAAACTGGCACTGTTTCTTTAGGAGTCTGTCTTAGAAGGGATCAACTTACCTTACATGAATCTTTGCCTCCTTCCAGGACACCTGCACACAATATGTTCTTCCCTGACATTGCTGGGTAAGCTGCTTGACACACCGGAATATGGAGTATGTTAATGTCAACACAATGAGGGACTTCGGGATAAGTCACTGAAAAAATTAAAAATAGGTGAAGTTACACGGTTCCACCTTTCACAATTTACCTCCTAGATACATAGAACTATAACTTCTATTGTTTCCAACCAATAGAGCTTATCTCACTGCTTTGGAGTAGAAAGTATTGTCTTTCAAGATATCCAAAGGGACACCTGGAAAAAATAGATTTAGTTAAATGTTTGCAAAGGGTGGTTTTTGTCAAGATATTACTAGATGAGGTCATTTGAAGGCTTCTCAACTTCCTCCAGAACTCTGTGCAAAGATTGCCTTGTGGGCAAAGTAGGACTTTTGTTAGTTCGAGGGTCATAGAATTGATCTTTCATCTTCTGGAGAAGATCTAGAACAGAGGTCTCCATACTTGGGAGCTTTAAGACTTGTGGACTTCATCTCTCAAAATTCCTCAGGAAGCATACTGAAACTTCCATATCTGAAGATGAAGCAGCCCATAAGCTTGTATTGTGAACAAGAACAAAAATGCAGGAATCGTGTCTAAAAAATTATCTACCCTCCTTGGGGAGGGTAGATATGATGGATATAAGTCTTAAGGAAACAAAGGAAAAATGTCATCTGAACCAGACAAAGCTAAGTCTGAGAACATGGAATAAACCCAATCCTAGCTAATCAACAAATAGCAATAGCAATGGCACTTAGAGTTATACACTGCTTTACAGTGCTTTGCTGCCCTCTCTAAGCTATTTACAGAGTCATCCTATTGCCCCCAACAATCTGGGTCCTCATTTTACCCACCGGAATGACGGAAGGCTGAGTCAACCTTGAGCCTGGGGAGATTCGAACTGCCAAATTGCAGGCAGCTGGCAATCAGCAGAAGTAGCCTGCAGTACTGCATTCTAACCACTGCGCCATTGCAGCTCTTACTGCTTTTGAAGTTTGACGTTACATCAATAGCTTTGTCCGAGAGTATAGTCGGAGATCCTTACCTACAGGAGATGTGATTGTGCCCCAGCCCATAACACGGCAAACTGAGCCCATACTGGGAGGGTTGGAAGGCAAGCTAAGAGGTGCGATGTGTTCACTATAGTTAACAGAACTGTTCAGCCTGATCAACATGATATCTTGGCCCCATTGGGTACAGTTATTGGTACTGAGACAACACAACTTCTCCTTCGGGACTCTTATCTGCTCATCCTCATAGTGTACATGTACATTATGCACACCAAGCTTTATCTGGATATCTTCCCTACAAGAAAAACAATGAAAAGTTAAGGAGTCCATGTGGTTCTGACATTAACGTTATGATTTTGTATGGTGTACATCCTCTCTCAAACCAACCTATCGAAGGATCGTAGGATAGATAAAGACGAACACAAGATCTGGATTTTGACCACTCTGCTCTTGTTTTGAAGAGCTATGAAGATTTTATTATTATTATTTTATTTGTTGAGTATGTATTAGGTAACAGATATAAGTATAAACATGATTATTAATACATGAAATGGATATGAATAAAAGGGAACATTTGGACAGGGACAGTAGGCATGCTGGTCCACTTACGCACGCAACACGCCCCTTACAGACTCCTTAGGAATGGGGTAACCCTAGACAGTCTAAGGTTAAAGTTTTGGAGGTTTGGGGAAGAAACCACAGAGTCAAGTGTGGTGCCTCGCCAGGTCTTTGACAAGGGAGAGAGAAGCCCCTCACATGTTTTTATCTTTTATGCTATTTTAATCTTTTTTTAAAAAAATATTTTCTTATTGCAAACCCCCAGAGTCAGGCAGCATACGGTTAATCTATTCTGGTCGGTTGCACAGGCAGTCAGATATTTAGACTGGATTTGCCATTATTTTCCACCTATCGAGCCCTTTCCGAGGACCTGGTGTAGGTAGATGTTGTGGTTCCGTGGTATTAAAGGGATTGTCACAGGATGTAAGCTGTTCCAAGCAAAGCTGCCTTTTGCAATTGACTGTGGTGATTTTGTCAATGCTGACGGTGTTCAGGTAATGTTCCAGATATTGTTGTGTTTGCTGTTATTGTATCCCAGTAAAAAAGGGAAAGATAAATATTGTGGTGAAGAAGAAGGAAATTCTACCATAAATATAAACAGCACTGTTCAAGATATGATTGTGAGGAGCAGTAGCAGCAGAACACTCATTCAAAATGCACAGAGAAGTTACTACAAACTAGCAGATTAATTACAAAAAAATCTGGATATTTAAGCACGATCTCCCACAACCCTTCCACTTTCTGTAATCCCCTCACCTGTTGCAGTGTGCAGCGGTCAGCACCCATTCGTGGTTGAGCAAGGTCCCTGAGCAGAAAAACCCTGCAGAGTTATACAAGTATACAAGGAAAGGATGTTCATTTTGGTTACATTCAAAACCTCCAATGATCCGATCAAGAGGAGTTACTGCTGCAAAGAAACAAAGAAAGGTCACTGTTTGGCTGTGAAATAGAACAGAATTGCTTTTATTAGTAGTGTTTCTATTAGTACAGTAATTTTGGAGTAATTTTATGAGACACACAACATCAAACCAGTTGAATAAAATTGCTTTATTTATTATGGATTATTTGCAAATTGTATACATGACTATGCCCATGTAGGTAAATTAAAGCACCACCACGAGTCTTCCTATATGCATGTATATCAGTCAATCAGAATAGAGCTTGAAGGGAACTTGGAGGTCCTCTAGTCCAACCCAGGGGGCTGTCTTCTTCAAAACCCCCAGTGATAAAGCACCTATGATTTCTGAAGGGAAGCTGTCCCGCTGGTTAATTGTTCTCACTGTTCGGAAGTTTCTCCTTCATTCCAGATTGCTTCTCTCCTGGATTAGTTTCCATCCATTGTTTCTTGTTTTGCCTTCTGGTGCTTTGTAAAGTAAATTGACCCCCTCTTCTTTGTGGTTGCCCTTCAAATACTTGGGCACTGCTTTCATGTTACACTTAGTCCTTCGTTTCTCTAGATTGGCCATACCCGATTCCTGCAACCGTTCTTCATATGTTTTAGCCTTCAGACCTTTGATCGTTTTAGATGCTCTTCTTTGTATTTTTTCGAAAGTCTCAACATCTTCTTTTGTAATGTGGTGACCAAACTTGATGCAGTATTCCAGATGTGATCTTACTAAGGATTTGTAAAGTGGTACATGTGTGTGCATGTGTGTGTGTGTGTGTGTGCATATACATCGCAGAAAAAATTATTTCCCATACTTCCCGATATGGTTTTATGAAAGCAAAAATTCATTAAATATTAAACAGAGATGCTAGCTCATCACACTCTAAAATAAATATGTCCAGGACCTTATCACTTAATACTGTAGTGAAACAGATTCTGCTTTGTTAGTGATGTTAAGATTTAGGGGTAGACAGACTTCCAAGACAGGGGAGTTGACTTATTCAATATGGAAGTGAAAAAGACATTTTTATCATTCCCACAATTCTCATCCCAGGATCATATAGTTATTTAAAATAGTGTCTTGCTGCTCGAATTATAGAAGCTTCTTAGACTTAGAGCACCTTATAAACAGCAATATCGATGAGCTTATTATAGTTTCAACCAATTAAACCAGTGTTTCTCAACATTGGCAAGTTGAAGATGTATGGATTTTAATTCCTACAATTCCCCTGACAGCATGGTGAATTTTGGGAATTGAACTCCACACATCTTCAAGACAAAAGGCCATAATCTGTAAATTTGCACAAGAAAAGCTGGGGATAGATGCTTAGTTCCTCTCATTGAGTTCCCTGCACATTGGGGAACTAGTTATTAATACGTGGCTAAATCTGAGTGCCCTTTTGCAGGTCTGTACAGCACTACTTTCCAGGATATTTTGCATACCAGTTAGGGTGCTTATACTGGAGCCAAAAACTGGGACCATCTTGGCCAAATCAGAACATATGGTAAACATAATCAGTCCTGGCTTTCAAGTTTACCATTCAAGGGAAATGAAGTACAAAAAAAAAGGGACATTTAACTTTGAAGCCTCAGATATACAAAAATACTATACTTTACATCTCCAGCAATGCTGGAAACAGGTTAAATCGCATGATTCTGCCATTCTGATGGCTGAGATCTAAGGCATCTGGTCTTCTCAAAAGTTATAGCATATTTTGCTCTGCTTCTTTGCTGCTCAATAACTTAACTGTATCATTGCCAGTCAGATTATGCTAATCAGTTGAACTAAGAATAGTTCAGATTAGCTTCTAAAAAAGATGGGCTTTTAGAAACATTTGGTCCAGAGTCTGATCTTGCTGTACTGGATTGCTAAGAAAACAAAACAAAAAAAGTTTTAGGTGGCCTCATGGGGTAGCAGAATAGGGGATAGTAGCAGAGAAAGTGAGGAAGAATTTGATGAAAAATGGAATTTAATCTATGAATTTGGATAGGAAGTAGATAACATTTGGATTTAGTTCACTAAAAACAGTTTGAGCCAACCCTGATGGCAGTAAAATCCCTACATGAAAGTTTTGATATTTGTTTAAGAAGCAATGACCTAGATGTTGCATGCTGTATAATGCAGCAAATCTAACAGAATGGGAATTAGGTTAAATACAACAGATTTGTTTTACCAGTTGGAACAAAAATCAATGGCCATTTCAAATACCATTTGTGTATACACTATTACAGTATCCTAAGACTAAAAATCTTTCCCCAACATTTTCCTCAAAATATGTTATCTTCCTTTATTGAAGTCACTTGCCAAATAAATGGAAACACGAAAGGAAGCTGATTATACTTGTGATTATATATTTTTAATTGGCTAGTTTCGCTGATATGAATCAAATGTATCCATTCGTATTATCATTACACATACAGCAATGGTCTTCTCCATTTGCACCAGGTAGGCCTTCTTCCCCCACTCTCTACCTGTAACCTGTTGTCCATTTTGAGTTAATTTATTACATGAAATTTTACTCATGTAATTCGAGGTTTAAATGAAAAAGATACCTAAAGTCCTGTTTACCTTTTGCTCCATGGTCCAGGCTCTTACTGTAAGAAAGCTGTAGTATCAGAAGGCTTGCTAGCACTCTGATTAGTGCCATAGCTTCCACTCTGTGTGGCAAACTGTTTGCTTGGAGTTTAGAAATAGGAAACAATTTTGGCAAGAATGTTTAAAATATTTGATTAAGCACATTGTTCTCTTCCACTCCAAGGCCGAGGCACAGATGTGAAACAAATGCCAGGTTCTCACCCTTACGTAACTTGGTTCTATATCAGCGGTTATTCAATTTGCCTTGTGGTGAAACCGGAAAAATCTGAAACTGAACACACTCAAAACTGTAGAAATGGTGGTAGACTTTAGAAGAAACCCTTCCATACTACCACTTCTTACAATACTAGACAACGCAGTATCAACAGTAGAGACCTTCAAATTTCTAGGTTCTACTATATCACATGACCTAAAATGGACACCTAACATCAAAAACATCATCAAAAAAGCACAACAAAGAATGTTCTGTCTGTGCCAACTCAGAAAGTTCAAACTGCCCACGGAGCTGCTGATCCATTTCTACAGAGGAATGATTGAGTCTGTCATCTGCACCTCTAGAACTGTCTGGTTTGGTTCTGCAACCCAACAGGACAGACACAGACTTTGGAGAATAATTAGGACTGCAGAAAAAACAATTACTACCCACCTGCCTTCCATTGAGGACCTGTATACTGAACGAGTCAATAGGAGGGCTGTGAAAATATTTACAGACCCCTCATATCCCGGACATAAACTGTTTCAACTTCTTCCCTCAAAACGACGCTATAGAACACTGCACACCAGAACAACGAGATACAAGAACAATTTTTTCCTGAACGCCATCACCCTGCTAAACAAATAATTCCCTCAACACTGTCCAACTATTTATGAAGTCTGCACTATTATTACTATTAATCTTCTCATCACTCCTTATCACCCATCCCCTCCCTCTTGTGACTGTATGACTGTAACTTTGTCGCTTATATTCTTACGATTTATATTGACTGTTTCCTAGTATGATTTGATTGCTTATGACTATCATTAAATTGCTTATGACTATCATTAAATGTCATACCTGATGATTCTTGATGAATGTATCATTTCTTTTATGTACACCGAGAGCATTTGCACCGAAGACAAATTCCTTGTGTGTCCAACCACACTTGGCCAATAAAGAATTATATTCTAAACAAAGAAAAAAGGCCAGGGGAGTTAGACCATACAAAGGCTCAATTTGTCTGTGTGGTGGGAGGAAAATGACTCTTCCTGTATTATTAATAGTGGGGACAACTGATACTAACTTAAACCCAACAATTTTCAGTGTTGTGAGACTGGTTTGAAAACTCTCCACATTTTCCAGTTTTGGAAAAATGGAGAACAGGAAAGCTGGCTATGCACAGCCCTGGATGGACTCTCTCCACAGCTGCAATTTCTTTAAATGTGACTTAGTTAAAATTAGCCTTAACCTTTAAATTTCATACCCTCCAGAACAGAGGTGGTATTCAGCAGGTTCTGACCAGTTCTTGAGAACCGGTAGCAGAAATTTTGAGTAGTTCGGAGAACTAGCAAATACCACCTCTGATTGGAGATTTTACAGTATTCTTCCCCTGACATGCCCACCAAGCCACACCCACAGAACTGGTTGTAAAAAAATTTGAATCCCATCACTGCTACAGATGCCTGGACTTCAACTCCTAGAACCGTGGTCCCCAAACTTGGCAACTTTAAGACTTGTGGACTTCAACTCCCAGAATTCTCCAGCCAGTTATGTTGGCTGGAGAATTCTGGGAGTTGAAGTCCACAAGTCTTAAAGTTGCCAAGTTTGGAGACCTCTGTCTAGAATTTCCCAGCCAGGATGGTAAACTGTGGAGAATTATGGAAGTTGAATTCTATACAACTGGGAGAGGGTATCATATATGGTATTGGACTGGGTTATTTGAACGACTGTTTCTCCCTGTTATTGTCTGTCTAATCAGGAGATGCTTGGTATTTGGGGATCCTACCTGGCAGGACCAGGAATAAAGACGTTTCTCTCATGCTAATTCTGCCCACTCCAAGGTTAGATTGGCCCTAACCTTTGTGGTGTTTTACAAGGCCTTAAAACAGGAGTCCCAAACCCCCGGTCCATGTACTGGCACCGGGCCACAGCTTGCCAGAAATTGGTCTGCACAGTCAAGCAAATCCCCATCTGCGGGATGCAGTCAGCACACAAAACCATGTCCCCTCCGGTCTGTGGAAAAATGTCTCTCCATGGAACCTGATGCCCCAAAATTTGGGGGCCACTGCCTTAAAATGCGTGGTTTTGTCACCAGGCTTGAGGATTCAAATGCATAGCAGTTTGTACAGTAACACAGTCAATTGCTATTGATGGTTTTTATATCCCAGCTGCTCACTGTATTTGTATGATTTTTTAGTTTTGAATTGTCCAAAGTCATGAATTTGAAATGGATGGCCATATGCAATGAAATACATTAATTAACATGATTAAATAGACCATAGCCTAGCAAGGGTAGATTCCCTCTCTCAAATAATTTTACACTGTCAGATATTAGGGAAAAAAGATTAGTGTAGGTTATTGTAGTGAAGCTTAATTAAAATGAATAATCATTAATAGCTGTAGGAAACTTTTAAAAAAATGCGATGAACGCAAAGGGAAAAAAGTCTGCATACTGGAAGGTACCGCAGCTGTCAGTTCCTTCTCTTTGTCTTCTACTCCAGAAAATGGGTCAATTCAGTATCTAGATTATGTATACAGTTTGGCCAGCATGTCTAGAGCAGTGGTAGGGAATTATGGCCCTTTTATGACCCATGGACTTCAACTCCCAGAATTCCTGAGCCAGCATGGCTTGCTCAAGAATTCTGGGAGTTGAAGTCCACAAAGTCATGGGAGGAGAGCTTAGTTCTCCATTTTTGCTCTAGAAGAAGGTCCATTGTTTTGGCGCCAGTGCAGCCCTCAGCTGGCCACGTGAGAGATCCCGCTAAAACGAGGGGCGGAACTAGAGCGTCCTTGCGCTCGTTCTTCCGGTGCTGCTCTAGCCTCCCCGTCGCTGGTTCCGGCGTCTTGGTGGCCTGTTCTGCAGGTGAAAGTCACTTTGAGGAAGCCGCTGTTTCGTCGCCCTCGTTGCGGTGAGAAGCCGGGGACTCGCTTTCAGCCGGGCGGGGAGAATGAGGAGGAGAGGCCCGGCTACTCCGGGCTTCGCTTCGCCTTCGGAGGGGGCCTGGGTTTCCTCACGGGAAGAGCCCGGGAAGAGCCGGTGCTGATGGCGCCTCCCCACCTCGAAGGGGAACTGCGCCCGTCCGGGTCTTTGGGTGTCTCAGACTGAATCGGCGTGTCAGTTGGGGATGATGGGGGTTGGAGTCCAGTGCACGCGGTGGCAGCAACAGGGGGAGGAGGAGGTCCGGTCCTAAGGGAGCTTTGGACCCCAAACAGCCACAGTTCTGCATCCTCCCTCCCTCCTTCTTTCTTTCTTTCTTTCTTTCTTTCTTTCTTTCTTTCTTTCTTTCCTTCCTTCCTTCCTTCCTTCCTTCCTTCCTTCCTTTCTTTCTCTATCTCTGTCTCTCTCTTTTTCTTTCCATTCTTTTCTCCCTCCTTCCTTCCCTCCATCCTCCCTCTTTCCCTTATTCTTAAAAATAATTCTTAAAAATGATGATTTATCATTTATAGCTTTTATGTACCATGAGAGCTTACGCACAAAAGACAAATTCCTTGTGTTTCCAATCACACTTGGCCAATAAAAAATCCTATTCTTAGCATCCACCAACCCTCAAGTACTAGAAAAGGAGGCTCAGGGAAGAAGGAGGTGGAGGAGGACAGTTTGGGGAAAATCTTTCCCATTTGTCCTGGGAAGAAGTTCTTTCCATTCAGAGAAAGCCCTTTGAGGCCTTGCCCAAGGACAGTCTTCTCTCTAAAGCAGGCAGTCCTCGACTTACCATAACAATTGATCCCAAAAAATTATGTGGCGAGGAAATTTCTTAAGTGAATTTGACCCCATGTTACGGCTTTTCTTGTGGCATTTGTTAGTGGATCACTGCCATTGTTAAATTGATAAATTAGTAACACTGTTGTTAAGTGAATCTGGCTTTCCCATTGACTTTGCTCGTAAAAAGGTCGCAAAAGATAACCTCGGGGACACTACCACCATCATAAATAGGAACCAGTTGTCAAGCATTGGAGTGTAAATCACATGACCATGGGGATGCTGCAACAGTCATAAGTGTGAAAAATGGTCCTAAGTCACTTTTTTCAGTGCCGTTGTAACTTCGGACTTTCACTAAATGAACTGTTGTAAGTCGAGGACTACCTGCAACAAAAGAAAGCTGTTTGAAAAGAATGTGCACCCAAGCAGACTTAATTCAAAAGGTAACCGTCCAGCCAAATGATACTATTCCACAAGCTTAATAAACGATGAAGGATTGTGTGCCAGTATTTCCATTTCGGATAACTTGTCTTTTTATGATAGATTAGCACTTAAATGAAGATTAGGAACACTGGCAAGAAAGTTAGGGTACATCAGATTTGGCCATGAAATGTCCCCTTCCCCTTTGCCTTGATTTTACTAGAACAGTTTGGATTTCTAATCGTTGAAGTTACACAAAAACTGGGGTAGCCTGAAATGAAATGAGGCAATATCTATGGTTCAGTGACTGATGGGAAGCCACTGGTTTACCATATTATATCAATCACAAGTGAAGCCCTCCTACAATTGTTTTATTTGGGTATCAGATATCTGAACACAATAACTGTTTTGTGGTCTGAGCGTAGGGTGCTGTTGAACCCAGCTAATGTGCATATAACTTTAGTGCTTAATATTACAGCAATGGGCACACTGTCTCACGTGTGGCATGTCATTTTTGTTACTGTTTTCTGGTCTGCAGGCAAGATAACTTGGCCAATAAAAAATCAATAACTTTCATCCTCAGCCATAGGTAATTGTTTTAGCAAAGGATCTCTTCTGTTATGTGAAGTGTCAGGAAGTCTGTTAAAGAGACACAACTAGCAGTCTAATGAAAACTCAATATTGCTTTCTTCTTCCCATTGTTCAGTTAAAAGATTTTAGGAGCTGCTTAGAAAGCATCACTTGGGTAGATGCAGTTTTTTCCCAAACTGCATCTCGATTGAACTAATAAATAAGCAAGATGTTTATTTAATCACCTGTTCAACGTTCAGACATTTAATTGTTTATTAATCTGATTAGCCTACCTACACCCATTTTTTATTATTTTGGGCGGAAGCCAGCAAGCAGAACACAGAATAAAATATTGCTTCCAATTTCTTGACATGTGAGCATTCTGAGGCCTTATTTATCTCATATATATTATTATTATATAATAATCCCTTCCAACTCTTCTGTTATTTCTATTCAGGCTAGAATATATATCTAGAACTGATTTGCTAAAATTCAACTTGTCTGCTTTAAAGCTTAAGGGTGAAACCATTATCTCCTTCCAGTTACCAGGTTTTTAAAAAGAGAGAGGCATATTAATGTATTAGATTAAAATAGCTGATGGTCAGTGCTAAGGGTACCAAGGCTTTCTCCTATATAGCAGGAAGGGGTTCCAGACATAGTTCTATAACTGATGTGAGCAGAAGATTTAATTTTTGGTTCACTCATTGCAGATAGGAAAAATGGACTGAACCAATAGTCCTTGACAGTCCAACCCAGTTGTTAAACAAAGCTGTCACTAAGTCCAGTCACATGATCACAAATGTGCTAATGATTTTACTTAGCTTTCCTTTGTTTTACAGTGTCCAGAAAATGTTATCCCAAAGCTGGGTGAGGCCACAGGGTGAGAAAGGTTTCCAAAACTTGACTTGCGAGAAAGTCAAGTAAAAGGGTAGATCTTACAGCCCCCTTCCCCCATTCTTCTGTCCTTTGGAATGCTAACTCCAACACTGATATAATTAGCAAGAAGAGAAATAATGTTCATATTTATATTCATTGTAGAGGAAGGGATCACAAGACAGTAAGAAGGCATATAATAGGGAGTAGGCATCGATTTATCAGCAGGATTCTACTTCGAATAAAATATCTATGGCAATCCAGTATTAAATTCTTTGGGTGATAAAATTACCATAGGGAAAACTTGATCTTTTTCCTAAGGGAATGTCTTCTAATAGCTGACATTTTGAAGCACCAGGATATATCAATTTCCTGATTTCTCATCTATTTTCAGAAAAAAGTATGTCTGAAGCCATAAAAAGCAAGATAGAGAACTACAAAACAGCTCCGTTTGACAGTAGGTTCCCCAATCAAAATCAAACACGAGGCTGCTGGCAGAACTACCTTGGTTAGTATAATTGATGCATGTGAACGTTTGCGTTTCTGTATTATGGATAAGAAAAAAGACTTCATATTCTGAAATCTTTATAAAAAGGTCATATTTTTCTCTATTGAAGTAAAAATAATATATTATTTATGGAAAGCTTAAACATACAAATGGTTTTATTGTCTCTTCCCCCTATATTTAAAAACATTAATTACATGATGAATAATTTCCTTGGCTTTTTTTTTTTTAGTTTTTAACACATTACATTTCCTTCTTTTCTCTCCGATTTTTTTTTTGAACTTTTTTGACAGCTTGGGTTAAAGCATGCCATGGTAAAACAAAGTTTTAACTATACTGTCCTGATTGTGCTAAAATAACTCCTCAGTTTTCTGAAAAACAATTTGTTTATCTTGCATATAAGAGCCACTCCAGTAGTGAGTGCTATATACATTTAATAAATAGAAATAAATAAATATACAAGCAAGAATATTGTGGGGATTTGATAACTTTTATTTTCTGGTTAAGCTGATTGTATAATACAATATTGAACTCCCACTTCCTCTGTAGCAACAACTGATTGGAGATTGAGAAAACACTGGGTTTGATGATGTATCATCATCATCATCAAATTGTATTTGGATGTGTTGGAGGGCAGAATGTTGGGTCTTTTTTATTTCAGAGACCCAGGTGTTGGACAATACACAGCCTTGTAGATTCTTCAGGCTTATACATGATTCTGTTTTTAAGGACTCTTCTAGATTAGATGCATTTTGCTCCATCATTGGCTTGAAATGTTTTTTTTTTCCCCTCCTGGCAGATTTCCATCGCTGTGAGAAAGCTATGAATGCCAAAGGCAGTGATCCCTATGTCTGCCAGTGGTATAAAAAAGTATACTCATCCCTCTGCCCTTCTTTTTGGGTAAGTAAATTACATAAGTCTGGCTAAAGCATTTTTGTACAAGAAACCAGTTGGGGGCAAAGGAAGACGGTAAAAGATCTTTCCCTCTTCAGGGGTACAGCCACGAAGGGTCAGGCAATCTGATAACCAAAATTCTTTGAAGTAAAACTCTGAAATCATGGATGTTGTAGTTCCAGTACATCTGGGAAACAATTGATTGCCAACTCCATCAAAAACCTCCAGAATTGTATTCAAAATACTTCTTACCCCTCTCCTTCAGGACATAATTGAGAAGTGCGTGGAAGAGTTACAATTTTAATGACATAACTCTTAATTGAGAAACAATGATCCAAAGAAAATGTTCTGATCTTTTGCAGGTTGACAACTGGGATGAACTTCGGGAAAATGGCTGTTTTCCAGGCAAAATCTGATGGTCTTTTTGTCTGCCAGTAGCTCCCCTACTCAGGAAGTTGCGCTGCTGAGTCCTTTCTGTGTGGTACATCTGAAGGATTTTTTCTGAAATGGCTCTTGTCTGCTTGAGCACCTGAATCATTTAATAGTACAAAACCTTGGATATTACCCGTTCTAATAAAATGCATGTTACCCATGCCTATGTTTATCCTGCTGACTCATGCATATGTTCTACCACATGCTTTATCTATGGTAACGTTCTCAAAGAATGGGTCAGATGTCATTATTGTGCTACATGTTTGTACTTTCTCACTCGACCACTTTTGACAAGATATAAGCCTTTCCATTCATTGGGTTAAATAGCTTATATGTACATGGGAAACTTTATAGCTGCTTGTATGTTGATAACAGGACTTGCTATACCAGGGTCAGCCATCTCACACCTGGTCATTTCTCAGTTACTAATCCTATGTTCTGGGCTAAGCAACTGTGACATGAAAAATCCACTTGCGTAGATTGCCTTGATTTCAATATTTGAATAGGCTCGTATGTCACCTCTTCTTATCATAGGCAGCCAGTGAACAGATAAACATCTGATTTTGGAAAGGGCATCAGATACCACATGGGCCTCACACATTGTGCTAACTGTTGAGCAGGCTTAGCCAACAACTCTGTTTTATGGAGAGGAGACTGCACACTATAAACAGAGTTGAGTAAGAATATATTCAAACCTATCTCTAGGGGAAAAAATGGCATTTGGGTGCCTGCATGTTGTGTGTTTTCTACATAATCTTAAAGGCAGTATCTACAAGGGAATCAGGCATATATGTTGCGATGGCACCATGCAAATGATATACATGCATGGTGGCATCGGATGTCATGCAAAATATTTTGTAATATATGCAGTGAAGTCATGATTCATATGTTATCAGTTTGAAATTTTTTAGTAAGTATGTTTAGGATTATTCTTAGGAAAACATTTTTTTTTAGCTTTCTTAACAATTAAAACAATTTTCAAACTTAAAAAAAAACTTTAAAAATTAGAAGATACACCACTAAAACATCATCGGAGCAAAAGTAAAATATTATATCTGCTATAATATTACATATTTCATCTTTTCATTAGTAAAAAATGGTGCTTTTGCCTCAAAAAGACAAACCACACATTTCTGACATTAATATTATGCTATAGTATAAAAGTTACAGTAACCTAAATGGTAATTCATCAGTTTTCCTAGTACAAAACCAGATTTAACTTGCAACAGTCTGGCTGTGGAGGGATCACCCCTCTGCATGGATGGCAATCTTGATAGATTTACTTTATTGTACGTATATATACAGTATACACATACAACGAAATTCACATAACGCCCAGAGGCCAGACCCAACACACGCACATGCGACAATCCACAAACAGCCCCACCCACCAAAAATTCCCCGCCCCCTAAAAACACAAGCATCCACGCAACAGACCAAGATTGGGTTCTTTGCAAAGGAGTCTTTATGCAAACAAAAAGCAAAGGAAGCATATGCTTACGCCAGGAGATGCAAGAGAGTTAACAAGTTTTGTGTGCATCGACCTCAAATATGGATCTGTGAAATGACGCTATGGTTCATTCAAGCCAAATGTGAAGCATATGAAGAATGGCTGCAGGATTTGGGTATGACAAGTTTAAAGAAAAGAATTAGGGGTGACATGATAGCAGTATTCCAGTATTTGAGGGGCTGCCACAAAGAGGAGGAAGTCAGCTTATTTGCAAAGCACCAGAAAGCAAGACAAGAAACAATGGAGGGAAACTACTCAAGGAAAGAAGCAACCTGGAATTAAGGAGAAAAGTCCTAACGGTGAGGACAATTAACCAGTGGAACTGCTTGCCTCCAGAAATCGTGGCTGCTTTATCACTGGAGGTTTTGAAGAAGAGATTTGACAGCCACTTGTCTCAAATGATATAGATCAGAGCTGTCCAAACTTGGCAACTTTAAGACTTGTGGACTTCCAACTTCCAGAATTGTCCAGCCAACTATGCTAGCTGGAGAATTCTGGAAGTTGAAGTCCACAAGTCTTAAAGTTGCCAAGTTTGGAGACCGCTGATATAGATTCCCCTGCTTGAGGAGGGGGCTGAACTAGAAGACCTCCAAGGTCTCTTCCAGCTCTATTTTATTCTATTTAAGTGATAAGACCCCAGCCAGCTCATAGAGTCGGAGAACCTTCCTTTCTGAACCGGAAGTACGCTCTAGGAAAAGTTTGCTTGGTTTTCCGCTAGAAAGCGAAAGAAGCTCCGGAAGTTATCCTGTGATCACTTAACTGTGCGCCGGAAAGAAGAGAAAGTCGGCATTGGACGCTGCTAGAGGAACTGGGCCGGACTGAAGAAGTCCAGCCATGGCGGCTCCTGCGATGCCGCCGCCGCCACCGCCGCCGCCCGGAGCCCCTCCTGGGGTGCCGGGAGGGGCTCCTGGGCAAGGAGCAGTGGTGGCGGCGGGAGGCGCGAAAAGCGGCGAGGAGAGACTGAAGGAAATGGAGGCCGAGATGGCCTTGTGAGTAGAGAGACCCGAGAGGAGCTTGGTGTATTTAGTATTTATTTGATTTGTCAATCGCTTACAAGATAATATAAGTATAAACATAGTTATGAATACATGGATACATATAAGAAAAATAAAATAAACAATAGGATAGGGACGGTAGGCACGTTGGTGCGCTTATTGGTGCGCTACAGACCTCTTAGGAAAGGGGTGAGGTCAATAGTAGACAGTCTAAGGTTAAAGTTTTTGGGGTTTGGGGAGGAAGCCACAGAGTCAGGTAGAGTATTCCAGATATTGACCACTCTGTTGCTGAAGTCGTATTTCCTGCAGTCAAGTTTGGTGCAGTCAAGTTTGGTCTTACGGGGGTTTGTGCAAAGCCTCCTTTGAATGGAGCCCAGCCTTTCAGGTGACCTCGAATTACGTGCATTCTAATAATCCCCAATTCTGTAGCCCCAAATATCGGTCAGATTGTTGATAGACTGACAGACAGACGATGGGTTAATGATAGATAATACATAGCTAGATTGACATGTTGGATTGATGATAGATGGATTGATAGATGATAGATTGATGATAGATATGATAGAGATAGATACCTTAGATACCATGGATGGATAGATAGCTTGATGATAGATAATAGATGATAGATAGATTGATGATAGATGGCTTGATAGATTAATGATATATAGATATAGATAGATAAATAGATAATAGGTACAGTATAGAGACGGACGGACAGAGAGAGAGAGAGCGATACCGGTTGATAACAATACTTCATTGACCAAGCGTGATAGGCACACAAGGAAGTTATCTCCGGGGCACAAGTGCTCAGTATACATTAAAAAAAAAAAATCATTAATATCAAAGTAATAATAACTATAATGATCATACCAATAAGAGAAGGTTGTGGAATGTATGAGAAGGTTAAAATAAAGCAGCCATACCACATGAGTAAATATACTTAAACATAATACATAAAAATGTAGACATAACATACTATTATGGGCATTAGAGCCTTTTGCAGGGTCTTTGTATAACGTGTCCAGAGTAGGATAATTTGAGTTTGGATTCATTGGTTTGATGGTCCATTGGTTTGTTTTCTTGGTTGTCCAAGGTCCTTTTCCTATCCGTGTTACAGGGAGTACTGTGACGTGCATGACTCTAATCTTATCTTTGTAAGTATAGATGCATCACAGAATCTGGGTATCTTTTCCAGGCTCTTATAGTTGTTCCACCACATACTTGTGGTGGTGTGTTTCTTGACTGTTTGTTCTTTCTCTGTTGATGTTAAAAGGCAGAAGGTCTCCACCACTTAACTATCTTTGCTGCCAATTCTAAGCCTGGTTGTGCTACCTGTTGTCATTAATTTGGTCTTATTTATGTTTAATTTTAGTCCCATGCTCTCTGACTTGGGGAACAGTGAAAACAGAGTATTTATTTTGCCTGGAGTTTTGAATATATTGAAACTTGGAGAAAAGGCAGATGAGCATCCTAGGAAACTTGAGTTGGGAATATACAACAGCTTCGACAAGCTGCCTGAGTATTTATCCCTAGTATTTCCCAGTTTAGATAAAGGCTCAAAATCTCCCTCTCCCTCCCCCCCGCCCCTCCTCTTTCTGTTTAACATTTTGTTTCTCTATGGACCATTCACAGAATTTCATAGTTCAATGGGAACTTAATTTTGTTTTTATGTATCCTTCAGGGAAGTAATATAAATCTAATCAGGGAATAAAGCCTGGTTCTAATTGCTGTTAAGATGAAAGTGAAGTGTTTGAATGTTCAAAAATGTAATATGCCTCCTGATAATTGCTTCCAGGTTTGAGCAGGAAGTGCTTGGAGCTCCTGTCTCTCTGCCTCCTGTTGCCTCTGTGGTAGAAGCTGTGCCAGTCGCTCTAGCAGTACCAGCGGTAACTGCAGTGCCCCCAGTTCCCATCATTCGACCCATCATTGCTACTAACACTTACCAACAGGTGAGCAGTGTGTTTAATTGTATTCTTTGTAATGCAGGGTGCTAGAATGTTTTCAGTGGAATATTTAAAATCAGTACTACATTCTCTTTGACATTGTAAATTTTTGTACATGACTATTCATCTGATTTTGTTGCCATCTTTTGTTATCCTCATGCCCTCCAGGTCCAGCAGAGTTTGGAAGCCCGAGCAGCAGCAGCTGCCACAGTAGTTGCCCCTATTGTGGCTCCTCCAGTGCCATTTGTAGGCCCAGGTATGGTCAGTTCCAAAGAGTTTGGCTCAACAATCATGTTCCTGTCCCCACATTAACTTCAGCAGTGTCTTTAAGTTAAGAATAGAGGTGCCTCACTCCAGTTTAAGTAATATCATTTATTAAACTCAAGAAACTCTTGATTTTAATTCTTAGAATATTGTTTTCAAAGTATTGATTTAAGGAAATCCCAAAAGAAGAGGGGGAAAAAGAATTAGGATAAATCCAACTTAAGAGCTGAAAACAGTGATGACCCTGTGCTATAAAGGTGCTGGAACAAATAGTTTTCATCTGATTTATGAATATGGGTCAGGTTAAAGGCAGAGATAGCGTATTTGAAATGAAGCAGAGATGCTTATATTCTCAACAATTGCCACCAAAGTGGAACATGTGTAATAGGTCTCTTCAACGGAATCAACACTTGAAAGGATGGCATTCTTTTAAGCATCCTGGTCCCAAAT